CAAGTGTATAAACAATGAAGCCAGAGCATCAAACTACATGAGTTCTCTGAACTTACCAGACAAAACGTTGCAGTTTGTTAAAGATCATCCTCTGATGGATGACTCAGTGACTCCAATGGGAGACAGACCTCGACTAGTAAAACGGGATGTGAAATATACCCAGATTGTAGTAGATAGAGTCAGAGCACTCAATGGCACCATATATGATGTTATGTTCATCAGTACAGGTGAGTTCTGCAAACACTTTTTTTTATTGATCATAGAATCATAGAATGCTTTAGGTTGGAAGGGACCTTGAGAGATCATCGAGCCCAACCCCCCTGCAGTAAGCAGGGATTGAACCTGTGAACTTGGCGTTATTAGCACCATGCTCTAACCAGCTGAGCTAACCTGGCTGATGCACTGATTCTTTAGGCTGAAGTGTGTTCCAAGAGAAACTCTTGAGATTTCCATATTTACACTGCTTTTACACCAGCTGGTGTTTTCATTAAAAAGTAAGGGGCCATGGTAAGTGGAGAATTTTACGAGCTTTGACAAAGTTTTGCAGGAAAAGAACTGCAAAACTTCAATGAGTGCAGCAAAAACACACATAAGGTAATCCCTAAGTGGTCATTGTTTGTCCCAAAATGTTATTTCTTGTTCAGACCTCCTTATGATGGCACAGAGTTGTGTGAAGTCTTCAGCTGAGCAGCAAGCAGATTATCGAGACAATTTACAGCAATTGTGCAATTTTTTTCTTGTCTTTTTATTTTAAGGATCTTACTTAAATATATTGCTTTGTTGTTTCAGATCGAGGAGCCCTGCACAAAGCTATCAGCTATGAGAATGGAATGCATATTATTGAAGAAACACAGCTTTTCCCAAACTTTGAGCCAGTCCAAACTCTCTTGCTTTCATCCAAAAAAGTAAGTGCTGTAAGCACCACAGCGTTCACATCACTTTGCTCTTCCACAAAACTTTTTAGTACCACCTTGTAACCTTACGGTGACAAAAGAAGTGTGCACAGAGCTAAAGGCTGCACCTGTAACTCCTCATGCTACAGCAATATCACGTCTTGCCTGCTGCATTTCAGTGTGTTTGCTAGGCGGCAAGCTTCTGGAGGTATGTAGATATGGGGAAGGGGGTAGGGCGGGGGGCACAGATGTGCAGGTCTTCACTTGGATTCCATGTGCAGAAGCTGAGAGATGTACTGTGTTTTAAGGTAACAGTTTTCAGGTTAGGAGTAATGTGAAAATCCTGACCCCTTGTGGCGATTGCAAATCTGTGAGGAGAAATCCTTGGGGCTTTAGCAGAGGAGTGGTATATCTTTCTGAGGAAACAGACCTAAGAAGAGAGAACAGTCTTGTCTAGCCGAGATACTCATAATTGTGTAACTAATTGGTTTCTGCTGTCCCAAATCTCGCAGGCTCCTGCATGTGAGATGTATCGTGAGAGCAGTCACATTGGTGCAGCTGGTGGTGAGAACCTCTGGTGAGGTCCTGTCTGCCCAGCCAGCCACCAGCTGCAGCTCCAGCTGGGGAATACAAGCCTTGCTGCTGGCTCCAGACCCAGTGGTCATTCTGCGCTATTAATCAGTTGCTGGAGTGGTTTTGTGACAGCAGGAGAATAATCACAGTGTGTACTTTGTACACGAGTTAGGCTTCTGGCCCTAGTTACTCAGACCTGCAGATCTGTGAATGTCTGTGAGACTACTACCCTAAGCAGTGGCTTGTAGCATCAGACCTCTCGACTGGCAGAATTTTGGGGTTTCTTAAGGAAAGAATGACTCTTTTGAAGTGTCTGGGAGTAATACTGGTATTCAGTAGCTACCTAGTGATAGATAAATGCTTTGCAGCAAGGGATTGAGGAATACTGCCAAGATATCTTAAAAAGACCTTTTATTTTTGTGTGATATTTAACAAAACTTTGCAGGCCAACACAGTTAGCTCAGGGGAAGGGAGCTTTGTGCTATAATTCTTTCAAGCCCATCTTGCATGCTTATTTGTCCTTTCATGCTTGTAACAGAAAGAAGTCTTGAAGACAGAGTATACTTTTGATAGACAAATGAAAATCAGTGATTAAAAACTTCCATGCTCATAGATTTCAGTAAAGATGTTTGTATTATTTTTGCATGATGCATCACACACTACATATATATAGTGTGTGTGTGTGTATATATAAAAACATAAAAATGAAAATGTTTAGTGGTTTCTTCTGCTTTATCTGCAAAGCAAGCTTCAAATGCCTTTGACAGGAGGTTTCAGCATTTGCCCTGTGAGAAGGTAGTGATAGATAACTCCATGCTAATATCCATTCTTCTAATTGTGGGTAAATTGTGGGATCATTCATACAGTGGCCTAATTATGATTCCCCAATTTCTAGGGAGTGGAAGGGAAGGGATAGGCATTGCAGCCTGACACCAAAGACACATGATCTAGCAGTTTCAGTATGCACTTGGTAGCCAAGGCTAGTGTAGAAATGATGGCATGGAATTTATTTGCTCTGAATCCCATACCACATTCTTAGTTCCTCAAGAATATCCTGAAAGGGGGCAGTGTGAGACATGGTATAGGGGCTGCATAGGGAATGTGCTGTCTTTTCACAAAGGAACTTCTCTCAAAAGCTTAGGATTGAAACAAAACACTGCTTCCTGCATGGTGCTGTGGAGACTAACAGCTTGGATCTTCTGCAAGGGAAAATTTCCATGTTGCTAGAATAACTTGTGACACATAAAACTGACACTCAAAACTGAAGCAGTGCTGCCCAGTACATTCCCATAAAAGCAGTGGTCCTCCTCAGTGATGAGTTGGAGGTTGGGTCAGGTGCCAGAGTCATGAAAGCTGTATAGTCCTGGTACCACCCAAGCAGGGATTACATCTGCTGCCCAGTGTGGAAACACAAGTTTCTACCTCCTTGGACGTCACAGTAGCAATCACAGTCAGTTGCTACTGAAGTGCTTCATAGAGCTGGTGTTGTGATACGTGTAGTGGCATCCCATAGTAATGGATTAACCACAAGAGGGTGGTAGTTGTTACCCTGATGGTGGGCTTCATATCTCTCTTGAGTCAGAGTCCTTTCTGAACACATTATTGCAGTAGTCTCCAGGCTCTGCCCATATACCTTCACCTTCTTTGGAGGGTGGTGGGCGGTGTCAGGTGAACCTACAGTAGATCCTCATAACTCCTGCTTGACTGAAAGATGTGTCTGGATTTTTTTTTTTTTTTGAAGTGGCCTGCTCAGCTCACTGCTTGTTCTCTGAACTTGTGGGTGTACCAGCTGGGAACCATGCCGAGACACTACAACCCATGCAGTGTTGCACTGTTGGCTTGGATGTTAGCTAGCAGAGTGCTAGGGAGATGAGCAGTGCTCAGTGTGTTGGGGGAGCTTTCCAGCAGAGCGGGAAGCTTTTCCTAGAAAGATGTATGTTTCTACCACTGCAGGCGTCCTTCTGTGGGCACTCCAGCATAGTCCAACACTAACCTAAGTTAAATTTCAGGATGAAAGACTGCATTTGAATTTATGTCTCTAAAGTTTGATCCTCTTTCAAAGTCCATCTTCCAGCAGTGCCAGCAGATTCTTTTTTGATCCGGTTTTGTCTTTCATCTTCCAGTGTCAAGAATTTCCTGGAAAGCTGTCTGCACACTTTGTGTATGAGGCGGGTCCAAACTGATTTGTGCTTGGTCTCGTAGCTGCCTGTAGAGACTGCCGTTAGTCAGAATGCATTGATCCTTGGCTTAATTTTAAGACAGACTTCCTCATGATCATTGCATTAAAGAGACTAACCTGTTCCGAGTTCTCATGGCAAAACCTCCTTACATCCTTAGTGAAAGAGCGTCAGTGAGCCCCAAAACCTAAATTCAGCCCTAAGATGCCCTGTTAGTTGTTTTCTTGAGGCTGTTTGTGATGTCAAGACCAAAAGTTGGCACCACAAACATGATGTTTTTGAATAATGTTTCTCTACTAGAAATCTTTCTTGGATGTCTGCCCATCCCTTTGACCATATTCATCCTGCTGGAGTTCAGCAGTCTCACTGCAGACATGGCCCCTGTGTACATTTCTACATACTGAGATCCGTATGGCTGCAGTACAGGAAAAGCAAGTCTGTGCTTTTATCCGGCTCATTTGCCATGACAACTGTAGTAGGGTGCTGATAAATCCACTCGGTATTCTGCTCAGGATGAAGCCAACCCACTGCCAAGGTGTGATGTGCTGTTTGGCTTTGTATGCACAGCCTCTCAAAAGGACTAGAGGGTCTCGGTCACTGGTGGGTTTGGGTTGCAGCAGAGGCCCCTTTCTTGAGTCTTTGCATAATAAGACGTAAATTCACAGTGTACCTTTACCCATCGGTTTCCCTGAACTTTGAAAGAGATGAGTGAAATAAGGCAGCTGCCCACATTTTATGAGAAGGTTGTTTGAGATGAGTGTGGTCTTTTCCTGCTGTGCTCAGAGTGAGACATAGAATCATAGAATCGTTTAGGTTGGAAAAGACCTTTAAGATCATCCAGTCCAACCAGGTAGGTCACCAGGTCATAGAAGGAGATCAGGTTGGTCAAGCAGGACCTGCCTTTCATGAACCCATGCTGGCTGGGCCTAATCCCCTGGTTGGCCTGCATAGAGCACACGCAAGATGACCCGCTCCATAGTCTTCCCCGGCACTGAGGTCAGGCTGACAGGCCTGTAGTTCCCCCAGTCCTCTCTCCGGCCCTTCTTGTAGATGCGCATCACGTTGGCAAACCTCCAGTCATCAGGGATCTCCCCTGTTAACCAGGACTGGTGATAGATGATGGAAAGTGGCTTGGCAAGCTCCTCTGCCAGCTCCCTCAGTACTCTTGGGTGGATCCCATTCGGCCCCATAGACTTGTGAGTGTCCAGGTGGCATTGTTTGGGATCACCAGCAACAGTGGGTCAAACTGCTGTTCTGTTTTTATTCCCCTCTTCCTAGGTGTCATGCAAGTGCTGTTTCCTTTGAATACTCTCCAGTGTTCCTCCTTGAGTTGCAAGTAGGCAGCTGCATTTGACTCTTGTAAGGCTGGTGCTGATGTGGCTGCAGAGACCTGACTGGTAGAAGAGCTGAAGGCAGTGAGGTTGCTTTGGGTTAACAGGAGCAGGTCCTACATATGGCAAGCCTTGCCTGTTCAGGCTTGCCTGTGCCTACTGCAGCCTTGTCATCAGCACAGGCTTGCCTTGCCTCGCCTCATATGAGGATTGTCGATCCATTGTATTTGTGGAAAAACTGTATGACAAAGCCATGGTTAGACATGGTTACTTTCCATTCTCATAAACTGTATCTGTTTCAGATTTTTGTTCTTTCATCTTTCTGTACTTCCAGCATCGCTGAATATTTTCAAGATAACTTTCCTTTCCTTTCTAGAAATAAAAGCTAATAAAAATGCTTATTCACCTCACACTCCAGTTTTTACAAACATGGCTGTATGTATGCAACTCTTTACTTCTAATAATTTTAAAATTGATTCATTAATTGGATTGTTTGACTTTGAGAAAGTGATTGTGGGTTTTTTGTTGTGCTTTGTTTGGTTTTTTTAGGGCAGAAGATACCTCTACGCTGGTTCAAATTCTGGTGTGGTTCAGTCTCCGGTGGCATTCTGTGACAAGTACACCACTTGTGTTGACTGTGTTTTAGCAAGGGACCCTTACTGTGCTTGGAAACCCCTTGAAGCTTCCTGCACTGATATTTTTAAAGAAAGTGAAATTGAAAGGTAATGGTAGCCTTTGATTACCTTACAGTTACAATCAGTCTTGCATCAGTCTTGCCCCTTACTGATAGCTGGCATTTTTTTAACTGAATGTTTCCAAATACAGACTTTTTCCTATCTATCTATGTCTGCTTGTGCTATTTTGATAAGATTAATCTTACTGGGTACCAGAGGATGGGCAGGCTGTAGGAAACAAGATTTGAAGTTCTAATACTTGGACTTCCTTTTACAGGAACTGGATTCAGAACATAGGTGGAGATGCATCTTCTTGTTCTGGTAAGTTAGACTTTGAAGAGCTGTTTAACATGTCTAGGTGGAGTAGTGAAAGAGTTGTGTTTAGTTTGGCTTGGTTTTTGTGATTACCTGAACATCCATTTACATTTTAATAGGTACAAGATTCTGCTTTTGAATATTTGAGCATCTGTACAGCCTGCATGTTGTCTTAAAATGTCTGTATTTGTATACATTTCAGTGTGCAGTGCACAAACATCTGAAATGAACGGGGGCACCTCAACAGTGACTTGTGAATGAAAGCAGGATTTACCATAAGTACTTCTAGTGCAGAGGCCTCTGTCTCTGTGATACAGCCTTTAACATTCTACTGTGAGCCTTGATAAGTTCTTGGTTATTGCTGCTGGATCAGATTAAATGATCCTGAAAAAAGCTGGTTTTTATGATGAGGGGGGAGGGGGGCTCAGAACATGATACAGAGCAGCTGAAATAGCCTCCATAGTGCTTTAAGGCAAGTAACCACAGGTCCTTTCTTTATAGTGTGTGCTGCTGCCACCAGATCAAGGGGATCGTAAAGAAGAGTAGTGTGACAGGAGATTTGTACTGCAGTAAACAATGCTCTTAAGAGTTTGATTTACTCCGTTTATATTTCTAATCCAAGCAAAGCACGGACCTCCATGAGAGTTTTGCTTGTTATTTTTTTTGTTAATTTATGGTGTTGCATTGTGGGTGTGCCGAAAGTGCTGATATTTTTTTAGAAGAGAGTTTAAGTTGAGTAACAGCACTTTGTCCAATTTCTTCTTGGATATTTTGTAGTTGCTGATTTACTTAAAATGCACTAATTGCATATAAAGTGATACCAAGTTCAGCATCCTGTCTCAAACAATGACTCATCTCAGATGCACGCTCAGTTGCGGATCAACAAGGTCTCATCTTTATCTAAAAGTGGAGGCTGTCTTAGAGTTTGAGGTGTCCTGTCTCTTAGTCTGTCTTGATGTCTCGCGCGCAGTTGTAGCTTGGTATTTCGCTGAGATTCTTGCATGCTGTCATCTTGGTCTTGTGAGGTAATCTGAATGCCGTAATCTTTAAGTTTCCGTTAAGACTATAGCACTGTCTCGTGAAACTGTACGGATTAGAGCAAATAGGAATCGTTGCTGATACTATACACATTTATTTTGATGTTCCAGATAAAGTAAGAGAGAATTCCCTACAGCATACATTCAAGCATGGGAGCACAGCAGAACTCAAGTGTTCTCAAAAGTCCAATCTGGCACAGGTAGTTTGGAAGTTCAAAGATGATGTGCTGAGAGTGGAGAGCCCCAAGTACCGTCTGCTGGAAAAAGCACTGCTCATCTTCAATTTATCAGAAGGAGACAGCGGTGTTTACCAGTGTTTGTCAGAAGAAAAAGTGAAGAATAAGAAATTTTCTCAAGTGCTGGCTAAGCATGTTTTGGAACTGAAAAAGATCCAGCATACCACGGTGGGCCCCACCGTGGCAGCTGCACCAACAGAAGGTAATAGCGATGTGCCAAAAGTGTCAGCTGTATCAACCGAGGGGTCTGCCACTCACACCTCGACCACTCAGATGGTACCGGTAACGACAGCAAGGGTAGTGACAAAGCCCATTGGCCCTGTCCTAACGAGTGCAGCCTCCAACACAGAGATCTTCAACTCGGTTCCTGACGCGGTCCCAGAAAAGACGATGTTCCTCAAGTCAAACGATAACTTTCTGTTGATGTTCCTCTTCCTCTTCTTTTTTATTCTCTTCTTGTGCCTGCTCTCCTACAACTGTTACAAAGGGTACTTGCCAGGGCAGTGCTTGAAATTTCGCTCTGTCATGCTGCTTGGTAAGAAGAAAACCAAGTCAGATTTTTCTGATTGCGAGCAGAGTGTGAAGGAGACGCTGGTGGAGCAAGGCAGCGTCAGCCACCAGAGCGGGGAGCAGCCGAAGCCGGCACACGACACCGGCTACGAGACTGAGCCCGATTGCGGGAATGGCCAGCTGCAGCCTGGGGATTTGCAGGCGTCCCGAGAGGCCAAGGACAAGCCCTTCGATGTCAAGTGTGAGCTCAAGTACGCCGACTCGGATGCGGAGGGGGACTGAAGGACCCTGTCGTCCATTTCAGTGGTGGAAATCAGCTGTGGTCCTGCGGCTAGCTATTTGAGCACAGAGAGTATGGGTGTGACAGCTGAGCCATAGCCGGGGTTTACATGCTTAAGCTGTACAGCAAGCCAATTTGTGTTCAGATCTTGCCAGATTAGAGAAGTGGTGTGTTCTTGTCTGCAGACCATAGCATCTTTTGTTGTACTGTCTTTTTTTGTTGTTGTTGTTTTTGGTTTTTAAATGGCCAGTTTCAGATCATTTGTTTGTTCCCAGTTTTTCCCCCACTGAGTGCTTCGCTCTGGTGAGCAGTTACTTGCTTGTTCTTCAGCCCTGTTCTTCTGTGGGATAAAAGTAACTTTCTAATTCAGTTGGCTTTAAAAGGTACTTCAGTCTACACATATTTTTAGCTGCCATTAAAAAAAGACCTAGTTTCATTTTAATTCCAAATTGGAAATCATTTAGTTTATCAGATTGGTAAATTATAGAGTTTTGTCCAGATTGGGACATTTTTTTTTCTTTGCTTCTAGTGATTATTTTTAGTTTTATGCTTTGTGTTTTGGCACATTAGGTCTCTTGGTTGGTTAAAGTTAATTTTTTTAACTGCTTTTTAAGTATCTTAGATATTAAGGTATAATGGGGATAGCATTGGCCTGATTTGTGCAAGACACTCAGGGATAATCTTGTTTAAAGGCTTTTTTCTTTGCTGCTTTCTAGAAATATAGGTACAACAATTTCAGTACAAAACATGGAGTAAGTGGGGAATGAGGGAGGGAGGAAATAATAGATTTAGGAATGCTTTTCCATTTTTTCTCCCCCCACCCCTTAACCAGTAAGCTGGACATAGTCACATTCTATTTTCTATACAGAACTGGATTTGGGGTGTTTGTTTTTTGGTTGGTTTTTTTTTTTTAAATGAAACAGTACAGGCAAGCAGCTGTCAGCAGTGACATGAGGGAGGTTTTTTGCACTGTGGAAGAAGAACAGGAACCAAGAAGAATTAACTACAATAATTCAGCTAGTGACTCGCTGGAATGGACTGTTAGGATACAGCCTGATGAGAAAACATTGCCGATTTTTTTTTCTTTTTTTCAGATTCAGAAATAACTCAGCTTCTTTTTGTGACAAATCTTTGCAGCGTCACCCTTTCTGGATGACACCTTCCAATCCCAAATCTTTGCAGCATCACCCTTTCTGGATGACACCTTCCAATCTCCTATGCAACTGGAGACTGAAACTGGAGCTGCTCAAACAATCAGTCATTTGAACTGTTTATGTGAATCATGCCTGCAAACGTGGAAGTGTGCATTTGTTCTCAGCCTGGTTCACAGCAGCACTGTTTGTCTGTAAAAGCATTTTGTGTGGTACAGTCCTGAGGAATTGCTCCTCTCACTGCATCTTTCTGTAAATATTGCTAGAAGTAGAGTAGATTTTAACAGTAAATAGCAGTATGCCTGGGCTGCTTTTCTATGTTGAACTTTCATGCGAACATAATTTAGACCATCTTAGTGTAAACAGTTTATATTTTATAAGATTCAGTTTGGTTTTATTTTTCTATTTTTAATTATGTACATATAACAGAATAAATATTAAAATAAATTGTATTAAATCTTGACTTTTATGAAACTTGACACAATGACACTGCTTTCCACATTGCAAGCACTAGTGTTACGTGTGGTTTCCTTTAAAGGGGAAAAGTGAAAACTTCTGTAATTAATTTGAAGTAGATTCTCTTCTCAGCCTTATTTGAATGGGTTATAACCCAGGGCGGAGGTGGGGATTGGAAGGATGGAGAAAGAAACATGGGTGAAGGAGGAAAGCACTCTTCTCTAGGGGCCTAGGGACACTTCCTCTTATTACCTCTCTAAAATTCATTTGTCTTTTTGCATTATTTCTTCAGTGTGTGATGTATTTCTTACAACTTTTTTCCTTAGTACCCTCTTTGTTTTTTCTTTTCTGTCCTCTTCTGTCACACAGCCTCATCTCCTATACCTTTCCCTCCTACTGGTACCTCCTTTTTGTCCTGTGTGGGAAGTGATTCACCTCCTTCACCCACCAGTACCCAGCCTGATGTTTGGTCTAGCACAGACCCTGTAAAGGTCATGTTGTTGCCACCTTTCCTAAGTGACCAGGCACAGCATGTTAGTGTCCGGGGACCCTTTCGCCTCTTCTGCCAAGCCACAGGTAAGTTGGAGGACCCCTGTATAAACCAGCATTTTCTGCATTAAAGGTTTAGGTATGTCACCATGTACGGTACATGTTTTACTTTTTTGGTGTTTAAAAAAAAAAGAAAAAGAAAGACCAAAGAAAGGATGTATTGTGAACATGCTGTTACCAAGAATCTGGCACTGCAAATACTGTACTGTAAAATGCAGGCTCTGATTTAGCAGCCTACTTTAATATATTAATAGTCAATTGACTTTAGTAGGCTCACTTACATGCTGAAGCAGTTCACTGAATCATTACTGCATATGGATGCTTAGCAGGTAAATATTGTCACTGTCAGTATGTATGCCATTTTAAAAATACACTTCTGTTTGATTTGAATTTAGTGTATTTTTCTGGACCAGGTCACTTACTCCTTTTTAGTCTTAACTTATTTCAAATGATAAAGCACAGTAATGGCAACTTCCATTCTATGAAGAACATATTATCTGAGGTGTACAGGAGAAGGACAAAGCTATTTTTTCTGTAGAAATTCAACATTTTTCTTTCAGCTTTTGTTTGGATAGTAGTTGCCTGTTTAAGCTAAGTGAGATTTAATGGCTCTAAACAGGTCTTAAAATGTAACCTTACTCCTTGAAAGAAGAGAATATAGACTAACTTAAAGTAGCATTGTTTCATATTGGTCTGTCTGTGAGTCAGTGTGTGTTAGTGTTACATGGAATTGGATCAAAATACATAAATCTTTATTAGAGTAGGTCTTAACAAAGGCATGATTTGTATATCCGTGGCTAAAAAGAAAAAACAGTGGGATCTGGGTTCTTTCAGCAATAATTTGTTCACCGCTACTATAGACAATTCAGAAACTTTTTGTTGTCCACCATGGAAAAAAAAGGTAAAAATAGCATAAATAGCACAAAGGATTTAAACAGTTTCATAATTGTGCTACAGATCTGGAATTTATTTTAAAATTGCTTTTTTCATCCAGCAGTGTCTGTTTTAGTATGATACTTACGTACTGCTTCTTAAAAATTGTCAGTAATTGTAATTGCCATGACAGTGAACCTAAGAAAGGAGCAGTGTCCTAAAGTCAGCCTGTGGAATTCGCTCCTGAGGAGGTAGGGACAAATAGTGGAAGAAACTATAACAAGAATCAGATGTCCAAGAGTTGCAGTGAGGGCACAGGCAGGGGCAAGATGAGCCAGCTGTGGAAGCATTCCCGGCTTCTCTCTGAAAGGAGTGAAGAATGGGACTTGGTGTTACGGATGGGGGTTTTACTTACTCCCTTTGGGAAACAAGACATTTGGCTGATACATCACACTCTTCTCTTGCCCAGAATTACAACTTTATTCCATTGATTTTTTTTTTAAAAAAAAAAAGTCAAATGCAAAGCAGCATACCGAACTGATGTAGATCTTTTGCATCTTTCTGGGACCTGCATGTGAGGATGTATAAATTTATCCTGGCTGGGGCGTGGCTAAGCAAATGCTTTTACTAGAAGCTCTCTACTTGGATTTATTCACATTCCTTCAGTGCCTGTTGATATTTCTTTATATAAACATAGCTGTAATGGAACTTTATTTCCCTCAGCTATGAATATAAGGTAAGATGTGTTCACAAGGAGCAGAAGGGTAAAAATGAGACTGGCAGAGAGTTAAATGTCATACCTGGCCTTCTGCGTAAAGGATACGGTGTCAGCAAATGTATGATGCAAATACACAGATTGCCACATCATCTGGTCAAAAACCTGAAGCTTTCTTTTAATTAAGTTTCCAATGTTATTTTTATGAGAATTATTGAATCTCTTCCTCTTCTTAATTGTAAATGTCTGCTTCAAGCTGTCTGGAAACTCAGCAGAAGTTGGTGAGTTCTCTTACTCATCTCTTACTCATCCCACATGTTTTAACCTGAAAGCTCGCCTAAGGATAATACTTTATAACCTTGTAACTGGCTCATTTCAACAACGTTAAGTTAAAGTGGATACAGCACAAACAGCCACTTGTCATGTATTGTTATTTTTTTCTGGAAAATTAGTTTTTCAAGAATGGAGTAGTACTGCTTTTCCTGAAAAGGGAGGAATACATCTCCCTTCACAAATCGCCTCCCAGTTTCTCTCTCTACTGCCGTAAAGAGTCTCACATCTTCACATTTCTCCAAAGACCAGTCTGCTAGATACATACTGGCAAATGTTAGGTTTCCTATACTTTTTCTAATAGAACTTTTGTCTCCCATTACAGGATTTTTAAACCACTTTAAAGACATTGGAGTCAGGCTTCAAATAAATTGAACAAAATACTACACCATTGGGTGCAGGGGAGAGGCAAAGAGTTGCTGATATATGCACCTACTTTATAATTCCTCTGGTGTGCTCTGTTGAATTTAGGTGTAGTAGAAACAGGCTTTTTCTAGCAGTTTTGGTTCTGCTTAAAGATGTTTTACTGACACCTCCCCCAGTTATCAAGTAGTATATCCTTGACCTTAACTTTGCAGACAAATGACATACTAGAATATCGTGAGTGTGCTGAGCAACAATTGAAATGCATTTATAATCAGAAACAGTGCAAAACATTACGCTTTATATTTGTATTTCCGGTCTGCAGGTTCAGACTGTCTCAGTGCCCATGGTGTCAAGAAGTCTTAATCTCCTCCCTTAGTTTGTCTGAAGCTGGAGTGTTTCCATAATGGTTTCTTAACTTTTCAGTCTCATTAAAATAACCCCGTGAGTGTGTGAACATAAAAGTTTGCAAACTCAGCAATATACTTTAAAGGAGTTGTTATTTCATGGAGATACTGAGATGGGTACCTGATAGCACCCACATACAATGCCTGTTGCCTGCGGT